TAAATCCAAAATACTCGCAATAGTCATATGTCCCAAAGGAAAAAAAATCATTAGATATCTATATGTAAGGTGACGAATTCTGAACTGGTTCCGAACTATAGAAAAAGGGATGCAGAACGAACTAGATCTTATAAGTCGAATTTGGAACTAGTTCGGAATTATCGAAAAAGGGATGCAGCGGGGGGCAATTGACAGTTCCTAGGACATCGAGATGTTAAATTCGCCAGTTGCTCGCGTGCAAAAGATAATTAACGCGCATTAGCCATGGTTCTAAATTTTCGAGTACGGAACCAGTTCGGTACTAGTGCGTTTCCCGGCAGGGTAGAGATTGCAAGTTTAGGTTCAGCTCAACGACATAATCAATAGATATGGAACTTGTCTGGAATCCCGGCTTTAAGAACATATACGGTAGAGAGAGAGAGATGACGAAAGCAGCCTTTCGGAGTAATCATGAGGCATAACTAAATATATCTCAATTTTCAGATATTACTGAGTGTGAATGTGCACTTGAACAAATTAAAAACGGAATACCAGATGCCAAGAAAAGGCATCGTCAGGTTAATGCGCCTCCTGTGAAACCCTCGAAGTTATAGATGCACATAATCTCGAAGAAAGTAGGAAACAGTCTCACAATATCCAAACTAGCGCCCATTACTGGCAAGCAAAAAACTTTACATTCGACAATATCAGAGATGCCAAATTAAGTGTACCGAAATCAATTACAGCGCTAATTGATTGCTCGGCCTATGCTCAGGCAACGCTACTAGCAACCAATCAACCATGGTTCTTCCGCGGGCTTACAGTAAGTCTACCGAATTAAGCCCCTAGATTCGAAAGCTTACAGCAATTCTTCCAAAGGGTGCTTAAAGGTGTACTATTAAGCTGTAGTGGAAAGCATTAAGGAGCAGGAAACCGATTTAATCAAGCGTAATTGACCGTAATGTAACCCTATTTAAGCTTGGATCAAAGTTGACGTTGGCAGTCGTCTAGGTCCGTATTGATCACGCATTGCGTCAGTCATTCATAAGGGTGGGTAACTCTGTAAATTTTCGTGTGCTGACTCAGTAACTCCAACTCACTTTAATGAGTCAGCACAGTGAGCTGGCACAAGTGTGCTATCGCACAATTGGTATGTACATCGAAATTATTGATGATGTTAGTAATCGAAATCGATTTAGAAAAGGTTATCCTTAGCTTCTGTTCGTAGCTGGCCGGAAAAATTTTACAAAGCTGATTTCAACTGGTGAGTTCATTTGCAAAATAATTCCCTACTTAGTTTTGCTTGAGAGTTGGCACATAAGAATCTGTTAAATGGGCTATGCATGTAAGCGGTTACCCAACGCATAGCACTTCACATGTAGAATTCTGTTTGGTTTTGATTTTTACGTAAAAATGGTATAGCAGTGCAAGTATGCATAACTTGGCTATTCGCCTTGCTTCTTTTTAAATTTGGTAGTCGTATATTCAATTGATGATTGGTCAAGTGATGCCATCTATTATGGTACTCTTTGGAAGATCGTATTGTGTGAATGTGTGAGCTCATCAATTGAGTTACCACATCGACACAGCAATGCAAGCCGCACCGAGCTATGCAAGTGTCAGCACATCAACTGAGTTACCATATCGACTCTGTAGCACACTGAGCTATACATTGTCAGCACATAAACTGAGTTACTGAGTTACAAATTTTTTCAGAGGTGAGTCTGAGCGTGCGGCACAGTTCTAAGAGTCAGCACAGTAACTCAGCACAGTGCTGAGTTACCCACCTCTAGTCATTCACCGGCAACCATGGAGGACACATCATTGCTCTCTTAAAACGGCAAAGCAGTGAATTTTATGTGTTGGATGTAAAGTTTCTGAGTTACAGAAAGCGCTTCACGCATATTTGTATCCTTCAGCTCTTTTTCCGGTCTCGTATAGCGCAGAACGTTAAGGATTTTCAATGCTTAGATTCTCGTACTTTTTTTTAAATTGATGGCAATTTATATACAAGACAAGGAAGGCTAAATCTGCATTCCCAGTCATTTTAAACTGTAGATCCATTTCACCATTGACCATCTGATCTCGGCTTTAGAGGACATGGAAACCACTAGCTGCTCATCCAATGAGCAAAATTTGAAGAAGCTAGCAACTGTACATGAAAAACTTATTCAGGAAGAGAATTCAGAATGCTTTTACACCACAGTCTCGTAAAAACTGGGCAGCTTAAGAGAAATTGTTAATTTGATTCCACCTCATCGTACTCCAAGAAGGTGTTATTAGTGAGAATCCGGTGTAGTATTAAGGCTCACCGCGGGAAGAGAAATTGGAAAGTGTTAATACATCCACAAAAATGAAGAATTGTGGCTTTGTGAGTCTAAATAGATCCATTGACCATCTGGTTTTCGCCAAGAGCTCGCTGAAGCCCATCTTTCTAAAATTAGGCAAAGAAAATGAAGTTAAAGGTACTCACACTCTCTATTTTCTCGGTGAGACCGACTTGTCGGTGTCTTTCCTGGGAAAGTTATCCGTAACGCAGTTTAATGAATAACACCATGGCCGCAATCGGAATGGGGTCAATCATTCACCTGCCAGCTTTCAGCATACCCTGAGCGAACTCAAGGCCCTGATTGTCGCTTGGCTATCAGAGTAAATATTTACATCCATGTCAATGCCGCGCAATTGAGTAGCCAACCGGCTGCTTCGTATTTCTGGAAAACACTGCAGTTATCTGGAAATTTATCCGTGTTATGAGGAACGATGAAGCCTCCAATAACACTACTGCATCCGAGCGGAAAATGGATTTTATGAGAAGCATTTTCATTGCAGAAATACACTAGGAGGTTTGCCATTGCCTCCTGAGGGGTGAACCCTGTTAGAAAAAACTTTTTCTACTTTAGATACTGCTCGGGCCAGATATCGAACCCAGGTTCTGCGCAGCGCCCTTATGAAATAAGTGTGCCCTTTTTTCAGCTGCCATCTTAACATCTCGTAACCTAATCTAAGTAAAGTTGGAAGCTTGGCACAGAGAAGGAAAATAAATAATTTTTTTTAATGTCAAAACTCCTACCATCGAGTCTTAAATTATGTTAAACGATCAATTTGTGTACAATAGAAGTCAACAGCTTCAACAGCAAAAATTCGTAGATACTAATACATTCACCGAGGTTAATACTACACATTTATTAGTTCATGTGCCACAGATTAATTTCAACATTGCATTTGTTTACCAAAATTATATATTTGAGTAATTAGAAAAGTTTGTCAAACCACTGCGAACGTGACCAAACGTTGAGCAATATCGCCAAGTACAGATGTAAACATATACTCGTAGGTACATTAGGGTGCCTCACAAAAAAAAGTTGCCGGTTTTCCAAGCGGAATTATAACATTTATTATATCTAAAGACTTTCGCTAAAATATTTAGGAAAAATACTAAGACTTACGTTAGCTGATATGAACATACCTCCAAAAATCTCATTATTTTGATTCCGTTGATAAAATTTATAAACTCTTCCATCATGCGAGGTGATTTTTTGGAAGAAAATGTTTGAAAACTACTTTTACTTAAAAAAACTAAATTTTTTTATATTTTTTCAAATCGATCCAGCTCACGTAATTCTTGATATTTTTTCAAAATATTTTGGCAGAGGCCTTAAAATTTTATAAGTCCTATCAAAAAAAAAAAAAACAGTGCCGATTTTTTTTGTATGCATAGTGATGCACCCTAACGTTTATGTTTTCACTATATTTGCATGCATATTTATAATCATAACTCATTGTCTGCCATACAAATGCATGTAGTTACTCATACAAATTTTGTATAAGTATTCCCAATATTTTATTTCACGGTAATTTGTACCAACTGTTGGCCATTCGATGGCACAAAATTTAGCAGCGCATTTCTAAAAAGTATTACAGACGCTTCAAAACCAAAGCTAATTAAAATCATATTATTTATATTTAAATAAATAGACGTCCATTTATGCATACATACATATGTGTGTGAGTACATACATATGTATGTAGGTATGCATGACTCGCGTGAGCAAAGGATACGCCATGGCTAATTGGCGGTGGCGGTGGAATGCCGCCGGTTGGTTGGAAACAAATTCAATAGTTAAATTTTACACCATAACAAACTGGTTTTCATAATCCATTTGCACGTACATACATACATATGTATCTATGTAGTTATGTACATATGTATGTATGTATATATGTTTGTGAGTATGTACTTTGAGCCCCACATAGTGCTTCAGTAGTTGTTAGTGCAAAACCAATATGGCCGCACAACTTGTACATATATGTAATGCGATTTAGGAACATTTGTATGGAATTGGTGGAAATTTGTTTTGAGCGCGGGAAATGATTATTTTTAAGGATGGTTGTAATATTCAAACTAGCTCTTTTTATAAGTACAGATACAAGTACTGGTACTGCGTGTATAAGAAAATTAAATTTCTTTAACAATTTTTCTAATGACACTCAATTACATATGTATGTATATTTGCACAAGGCACTCGAGTATTTGTAGACATGTATGCAAACAACTTATGCAAAAGTGATATCAGAGGAGGCAAACAGCCCGTTGAGTGACGTACATATGTATAACTCCGTCAGCGGCGCATTCATGCGTTAAAATTACACATTTCTACATACTTACATAGTATTTTGTAGTAAGTTAAAACAATTTTTTTTCCAAAATTGTATCGTCGGCATTCAAAAAACCGCCTCAAATCAAAGTGCAAATATTGCAAAGAAGCTGTTGATTTTTATCATGGCCCAGCCAACTCTGCCTTTCGTATCTTAGATCACAATACTAACTATTTTGCGCATGCAAATTTTTTTATGTTGATTTTGTTTTTTCTGTTTTCTGTGTTTTTTTTTTATATTTTCATTTCGTACCTAATCAAATGCAAATACGCCCACAAATTCTGTCGTGTCAGTGAAGTGTGTGTGTGCAAAAAGGTCTCTGTTTTTTTGGGTTGTTATTTGATTTGAAAGTAATACAAACTTACGCCTTAAATCCCTCGGATCGGAATTGTTGCTGCGCGGACTTTCACCCTTTTCACCGTTGTCGTAATCGTTTGATCCCTCCATCGATTCGTGGGAAGTGCAAGTGGGGCTTGCCGAGTCTGTGCGAAATGAATCGTTGCCATTGAAGAGATTCTGTTGTGAAAGAATTGAGAAACCGATTGGTAGGTAAAGATAAGCGTGTTTTAGAAATGCAAAATGTAAATTTTTCTAAAAACAAAAAGAGGTCGCTTTAATGTAAAGATTTTACATAATTTTTTGCAAATTTAAAAACTGGGTACGAACTTTACTCTAATTAATACCTGAACATTGTTTCTGCGGTCATTTAAAGCTTAGCATACATTTTTTTACTATATACTTTTAGACATGATTTTTTGCTATTGAAAACCTGTAAATAAATATTTTTTCGATCAAAAACTGTTTGGTCCTTTAAATATTGGATATCAAATTTTGTTCTTTTAAAAATTGGAATTTTTTTTGTTAATTTAGTTTTATGGTGAGTCAGAGCCCAGAAATTAAAAACTACACATAGTTTTTGCGAATTTTACAACTGGACATAAATTTTTGGTAATTTAAAACTCTACGGGAGTTTCGAAAAATTTATAATCTATATATACATGTAATAAAATTGTAACAGGCCGATGTCTGTACATTATAAATATTAAAAAAAAAATAATAATATAGAGAGTCCGTTTTTAAGAGCACTAGAAGCCAAATCCAAAATTTTTCGAATTTTCGTCTGTCTATCTTTCTTTCTGTATGCGCATAACTCGAAAACTAATGCATGGAATTGAATGCAGTTATCACCGAAGTATTGCTGGAGGTCTAACTTTAAATAGAGAAAGAAAAATGTTAGAGAGTTGCCACCTGTTTGAAAATTCCCGTTTAAGTAAATTGATAAGAAAAAATAATTATTGAAATATTGCTGTCTAAAGAAAGCGGTTTAAGCGGGCTTAAAGCCGAAAGTATTTTTGTTGTGGGTTGCCAGCTGTTTGAAAATTTTAATCTAGTTTAATTGATAAAATAAATTGAATGTTGCAATATGGGTATCAAACTGAAGATATTTAGGAAAGTTTACTGCGGAAAATACTTTTCAAGGAGGGCTACCACCTGTTTGAAAAATTGTATTCAATTAAATTTATAAAATAAATGAAATGTTACAATACGGGTATCAAACAGCATAAAAATACTTTTAAGGCGCAGTAAAGTACGCCGGGTATTTGCTAGTTTGAAATAAAATTTTTAGTAATTTAAAACTAGACATGAGTTTTAGTCAATTCTAAAATGGACATATATTTTTTTCAATCAAAAATTGGATATACATAGCAGTTTGGTCATTTAAATATTGGACATAGAATTTGCTCGTTAAAAAACTGGACATATGTACACATATTTTTGGCAATTAAGAATCTGAAGACTTATTTTTAATAAACTAAAATCTGGACATATTTTTTAATGTTTAAAACTGGACATATTTTTTGGTCATTTAAAAACTGGGCACAAATTTTTAGTAACTTAAAATTTGAGCCACAGTTTGTTTAATTTAAAAAGCGTATATATATTTTTATAATAAAAAACTGGACATCTTTTTTCGGTGTTTGAAAAACTGGACATAAACTTTTGGTAATATAGAAATTGTTCATAAATTTTTGCTTGTTTAATTGGACATAAATATTGGTAATTTAAAAGCTCGACATACTTTTTTTTGGTTTTTTTTTTTTTAACCGAAAAGAGATTTTCGCTCACTTAAAACTGGACATACATTTTTGATAATTTAAAGTTGGGACATTGTGTTTTGTACATTTAAAAGATGGTCATACATTTTGTGTACTTTAAAAACTGTATATATTTTTTTAATGTTTAAAACCCTGAAAATAAACTTTCGGTAATATAGAAACTGTTCATAAATATTTCCTTATCAAAAATTGAATTTAAATATTTGGCCACTTAAAAGCTGGACATAATTTGCTGCTTTTCAAAAAACCGGAAAGAGATTTATCGTAATTTAAAGCTGGACATCTATTTTTGGTCGTTTAAAGTCTGAACATATATTATATATATATATATATATTATTTAATCATGAACCAAAAAGTTAATATTGTAAACAGAAAACATTTCTTATAAACATAGCTCCAACTTCAAGCTGACTATGTAAACGCTGTCGTCCTTGCTCTTCAGAGTATATCCGTTTAAACTCTTTCAGTGGTGGTTGAAGTTTTGGGTAATTATTTTGATGTCCTTGTTCCTAGACTTGGTACTTTCTAGGGCTGGCTTGAAAATGCTGCTTCCTATTCCAATGCGCCTCCCTCAGGGGAATTCCGCATTTGTGGGATTACGGGTATGCCAACCGGGGTACAAGTCAACGGCCTCCGGTGGAGTCGAGGTTCAACTAGCATTAGTTTCGGCTTCGAGGTCTGACCACAGACTTAATTATTCTGGTACCACGGGGAGAGTTATTATATTTACTTTAGCCTGTTATTGGGTATGGCGCTTCGGGGAATATTCGTGGTGGCTGTGGTTTAAAACCCAAATGTGGGTAGAACCGGCCTTAGTTGGTTCGATGTCGAGCTACATTAAAAGCGGGTGTCGGACCCAAAGTACGACAGAGGCTTTAGGTAGGCTTCGAGCCCTACCAAGGTTGTTAGTTTGTCCGCCCCACACTGCCAATTAGCACCGACAGAGTGGTAACATTACGTGGAGCCGATCAACGTATTGATCCGCTGTGCTTTTGAGCGCCGTGGGGTAAGGCAGCGAAAGACGCTGCCTTAATTCCACAAATTTTGTCGGCAATCACCGATTCAGAATTTCAGGGTAAGTAATTCAGTCTTTATTAGCCAAGGGTTAGATAAGCCTAACGAAAGACCAGCAGCAGGTTTGGCAAGATATATTATGGGTTATTCAGGTTGTAGAGAGAGAAAAGTAGAGATGTGTTCGTTTCGGAAGCTTTTTCCACTCCTAATTCTACGTCTACGTGCTCACCTACTGGCTCTTTCGAAGAAATTTTAGTTCAGTGTATTAACCACAATATTTGCCAAACATCCCTCAGCCGTGTATAACCGCTCCAGGATCATCCCAATGTAGCTCGACTAGTATCTATTAATGTAGAATCATTCTACTAGGGATCAGACCTTTGCCACGCGCTATAGACAAATGCTGTTCCAACATCCACATGGAGGACCTGCTAGTAATCTACGAAATCTGTACTTCTACCCCTCAAGCTGTATGCTCTCCATCCGCCAGTCGCCCCAAAGTGGATGACCGGATAACGGACAGGGTTGTGAATATCTACCTAGCCTAATATTAATAGCTCAAACGTAATTTACTGCCCGAGATCTTCTCTCTATTTCGTTCGTAATATTTAACAGTAAACACTCCAAGAAGATCGGCTTACCGGCTATTCAAAATTTTTTCATCTTAAACTTTACTTTTGGAAGTCATTACATAGAGGGACCCATGATTTAGAGGGCGGTTGTCCTCCTAGCTGCTAACAAGTGGAACGATGTTATAAGGCAGTATTTTATACAAATTTAGAATTTTTCATAGAGACCCGAAAAGTTCGTGCTGCTCGCGGTTCCTCAGCAGATTGTCGACTACTATGTGGCGAAAATTCGACATAAATACCTAACGGAATTGGTGCTACAAAGATCTTTACTCCGTTTAAGCTCTTCGGAGCCGAGTTTTGAAAAAAATAAGAAAATTCTGAAGAAAACCATATCAAATCTCGTAAAAAATTTCATATGTACAAATTTTGTGTGCAATGAAAAAGTATCGAATTTTTCCGGTTTTCGAACTTATTCATAATTTCCCATATCAACTCACCTGATCCAGTGATATGCCAATATATTTGGGTGGTGAAAACGCTGAATGCTGCAATTGAAAATTCGATAGCACCGATGGTTTACCTAGTCCGCGATCGCTGGCAAAGTAACTCGCCGGGCCGCCATTTGCGGCCAGCATGCCATGATTGAGCGTTTGTAGAAGATGTGGATGGAAGCTGTGCAGCAGGTGTGTGCCATAACTGCCGACAAGTGACATATTGTGTAGATCTTTGGCGTCTGGTAACTGAAAAAAAAAATGAAATAAATTTATTTGTAAAATGCGGAAATATGGAGTAAAAAGGCAGTGAAGAAATAGCTATAAACTGTAAATAGTAAGTAAAAGTACTTAAGTATGTATGAAAGAATAATAATATATATGTAGGTAATCCTTTGACCTTCAAGTGAAACACTTTCTTTCATGCCTTTGTTATGCTCACTTTAGCGTGCAAATAAACTATCAAATTTGATGCACATGTTCGATATTTTTTGGTAATTTTTTTTGCACGAAAATATGAAAATATTTACAATATTCAAAGGAGCATAAAAAAAAATATTTTTGTATGCATAGCATAAAGTGTAGTTGTTTATTGGCGTGTCGCTCTTGCTATCCAGGGTAATGACATGTTAAGCTCGGGTCACTCTCCTCGCTTCTTCTTTTCGCACAAAATTATGTTGCTAATATTTTTGCCAAGGATTTGCCATGGGTCAGTTGTGGCTATTGGCGGTTGCATGGAGTGGAAATTTTATTGCATTCGAATGGGTTGAGAATTTTTTTATGAGCGAGTAAAATCAAATTGTGCAGAAAAGCTGTCGAATTTGGTGAGGGGTATAAGACATGGGCTTTCACTAGGCTTTGCGCATATGTACATATGTATTTATGTATTTCAAATAAATGTGATTGTGTTTTGAATAAAAAAGTGGTCAAGTGTTGTGAAATGCCAGTGGAAGAATAAGGAATAAATATGAGTAAGTAGATACATTAAGAAGAAAAAAAAAATTAAAATTAAATGTAACGAAATGGAGCTAAATGTGTAAAATGCTATGTTGGAAATCTATGATTTATTATGTTTCAATACATACGCAAAATTCGAACCAAATCGGACAATAAATACGGGTTTTCGAAATATCTCGACCTTGGCGCCACCTAGGAAGACCATTTTACGCAAACATGATTCTATTTACATAGCCAATATATATTTAACAAAGCAGACAAATCGGCCCGTAAATACGTTAGACATAAGACTTTTAATTTTATTTTTTTCGTGGTGGACCTTCCGATGGAAACACTCATATGCGATATCGTCAACTCGATTCCAGTTTTGCTTCACGTAACAGTAATAGTAACACGTAACAGCAACACAAATGCATAAATCAGTGTTTTTACGAGGTCGTTTGGGCAGTATCGTTTGAACGACTATCGTTTCAAAGTTACGTGATTCATGCCCTGGGGTCAATCTCAAATGAGCATGTAAGTATGCCTTCCGATCACCAAACCATAATTTTATCATATAAATTGTGACCGTGAATTCTTGGTGAAAATCTTGGACCAAAATGTTTCAATAAAAAAATTTATTTTGGGCGGGACGAAGTTCGCCGGGTCTGATAGTATTAAAGTACATATTTTGAAATTGTTGTAAAACAAATACTTCCTCGCTTCATTTTCACGTTTTTTACAGTAGAATAGAAGTAAATTTTTCTTATTGTGGCAACTTAAAAATTATTGTATTTTTGTTTTTTTTTTTTTTTGAGACTAGAGACTAGAGACTGTTTACTGAATAACGGCATAAGTGGAATGAAATGGAAAGAAATGAAGTGAAATTATAAAAAGTAAAATAAAATTAAAAAAAAAGAATTGCCTTCAATATTCAAAAATTAAAGGTGGCATATTCATAGTCGGAACAAAGTCGATTTTAAAATTAATTGCAGCTTTTTGAGAGATATTGCATTGAAAATTATGACAAAAAGCTACAACTAAGCTTAGTGATTGTTGACTTTATTGTGATTGTACATATGTACGATCAAAAAATTTTTCTTCTCAGTTAGTATGATTTTTTTACCCGTCTTTTTATTTATTAGTTTTTTAGTACTTATGACATTTCCCATCTTTACGCTTCTCCAAGTACATAAACATTCAAATTTCCACTAAATTGCCTCTAACATATTCAAAACAAACAAAGAAGAGAAACTATGTAAATACTTAAACGATTTTCACACATTTTCACAAAATTTGTACCATAATTTGACGAACAAAATGTTTTACAACATTTTAGAACTAAATCAACAAAGCAACAGCAGCAGCAGCAGTAGCCTTAACACTGCCATCCCTTGTTGCTGCCACCCAGATATGCAGCCACACACACTGGTGGTTGGTGACACACACATGTTACTCCAGCTCACTTTGTTATCCTGCCGACGCTTAGGTTTAGCATAAATGTCGTTATCCTGACGCCGACATCAGCCGCATGCCGTACAAACTTAATCACATGTGTGNAAGTATTTACTCTCTCAACGCCAAGTAGTGTATGTATGCGGAAAAAAAGTAACAATGTGTTGGGAGTAGAGTACAATGCAAGGAGTACTTATTGAATGAAATGCGGCAAATACAATTGCGCTGGACTCTAGTATGTATGTATGTACGTGTAGGTATAACATACGAGTATCATTTGCACAAATGACGTGTGTAATACTCTTGTAACTCACTCCATTGCGCGCGTTGTGTTGAAAAGGGCAAACAAAAAAAGAAGTTCCTCTGTGTACTCGTATTTACATAGCAATTTATACATATGACTGCGATAAGTTGGAAAAAATTTAAATAAACTTGATCATTGACAACAGTTTTGAAAATTGCTAGACTTAAACGTAGCGCAAATGTGTCGTAAATTATGCAAAGATTATTACTTTGTTAAATGCTTAAAATGGTTATTGGAAAATCCGCGACACATGACTAGCGTAAGGCGATGATGGAAATTTATGTCATATGTGTTTATATGTACGTATATATACAAGCATGTATGTAGAAATGAGGTTAAAATCGAACTGTCTGCACGCAAATGAAAATCCTTCACAACACACACATCTACAAATTGTAAAAGTACACTAAAATAATTTTAAATTTTATGACAAAAAGGGAATATTGCGAGGATGGCACGAAAGCTGTGCTATTAATATTTTTGTATTATTAAAAATTTGGAAAATGTTAAATTGTAGAGGGAATATTGACGATACGTACATATGTATGTATGTGGGAAAAGTTCGCTTTAAATCAAATTTGAAATTGTTTTTGATAAAATCGCTATTAAGATTGATTCGCTCACAGCCAGATAGCTAAGACCTGCGGCCTGAAAAACTGTCAAAAAATCTTTTTTTACCTTTGGTTTTTCTCATTCCGTTGGAAAAACTGAATTAAAACTTCTTATAAGTTACAGCCAAGGTACATTGAACAGGTAGTATCAGTAGAGCAGCTGATTTGATTTATTTTCAAATTATTTGGTCTCGAAAATGTCAAATATTTTTAATTTTTTCTCACGAAAATTATAAGTTGTTAAAATCCATTTGCTTGTGAAACCTTTTTCCATACAAAACAAGCGATTGAATAGCAGCTTTTGGAACGTTCGCCCAACTCGGCAGCACGACCGCTGATTACTGGGCCTTGCAAAGGATGGATCAATGCTTCGAGAAGCAAACAAATTTACTAGGAAAGAAAGTTGCATCAATTTTTATTTTTTCCAATTTCAATTTTTTATTTTTTATAATTTTTTGTATTTCACATGGCACGCTTTGATTTAGAAGAAAAAATTCAGAACAGTTTTTGACACTTTCGATACCAGAAGCAACAACAAAATACACGCAAATGTTGTTTTTGCTCTACTGATACTACCTGTTTAATGTGCCTTGGTTACAGCTATGCCAAATGCATATAACCAGTTTTTTGTTTTAATTCTTACACATTTTAGGAAGAATGCTTTAGTAAAAAGTGTCATAGCACGAAAACGATCTTCTTAAAATTTTCTAGTAAATAAATCACGCACTAATCTTGCTACACGACATTAATGAGTAAACAAAAGGTGCTGCCGTTTTGAAGAAAAGGAAAAGTTACGTTTTTCACTTGTGTGTGTCATTAAGTTAACATCCTAACTTCTTAAGATAACAGCGTAAGCGGAGCATGCACATATGTATGTATGTCATGGTAAAGCGGTGAATGCAAACATATTCGCATGCTTTCGCACAATTAAGCGCTACTTTTTGCATGTGTTGATTTATGTACTTATACTAGTAAATTCTTATTTGAATAAGCTGCAAGAAAAGGGCTCACATTCTGCCTAAAAACGTAAGAAAACAATGTAAATTGTTTGCTTTTAATTTACAAAAACTTTATGAAGTCCGAAGGCTTCGCTTTAAGCCTTTTCTACTTAATAAATAGTTAAGACTCTGGTGGGAGTTTTTTAAATTACAGTGAAACCTCTCTATAACGAGGTTGAAGACCTTTGAGTCGATTTTAGTACAACAAAGTGCAATTTGAAGTAGCTAGGACTTACCGTTGAAATTTTTTTTTGACAGTGCCAGTCATTTTATTCCATATGAAGTATATACATATTAGAGGTATACGCCGCCGAGCCACGCCGCCGCCGCCGCCGTTTTTTGTCATTCCTCACGCGCCGCCGCCGAGTTACGAAAATATCGGCGCGGCGGCGGCGGCGGCGGCGTTCGGCGCCTAAGGAATTTTGTACAAAATTTTCATGATGTATGTACATTGAATACATCGTTTGAAGGAACTAAATATTACTTGTATAAAAACACAATTTTACGAAATGAAAATTACATTTTTAAATTAGTTTTTTTTTGCATAATTTGGGCCACTGGACAAGAGTATGATCTCCTTTATTTTTTCCAAAAATAGCATAACTTAGAAAAAACATAGGTAACATATTTTTTGACGACAGCGTTTATTACAGTTAAATTAGGGTCGAATACTGGTAATCTAACGATTTTTTTCCGCAGTAGACAATTCTTTTCTATACTACAAAAATACTACTTTTTTATACACCTACTACAACAACAAGAAACTTATAACACATCAAAAACTTTAGCTCCAATATCTCAGAAAGCAGTTTTAATAGAAGCGGCCTCTTTGCATCTAACTCCTCAATTATTGAAGATAAATCAAAGACAAGTTGATTTTTCTATGTATTTTTTTAATATTTTAAACAAACACTTTTTTGCTAATATTTACATTCGTAAGTTATT